CCGGGCCGGTGCGCGGTGTCCCCGTCCAGCCCTGCTCTACGGAGACGCGGACAAGCCGGCCGACGGCGGCGACAGCGCTGCCCCGCGGGGCTCGGCCCGGAAGGTCGCCTGCACCTGCGACCAGAAGCCCTGCCGCTGCCGCCAGACGAAGGTCGACTACGCCTTTCTGCACGCAACAGGTAAAGGCGCTGCGGGTCATCCGCGCCCCCGCCCCGCCTCTGGGCCCGGGTGGGAGCCCGACACGGCGTCGAGGTGCCCGGCCGAGGCGACGCCGCCGGAATCTGAAGCCGAGCAGAGGCGCCGGGCCCCGCTCTGTGCAGCCCTGCGAGGCCGCGCGCCTCCGAGCTCGGGCGGCCAGGCGTTCGTGCGCGCCTGGTCCGGCTGTCGGTTTCCCAGGGTGTTGGGGCACTGGTGGGGGGAGGAGAGACACAGTTTCCGGGAGACGTAAGAGGGAATTCAGAGTCGCTGGCGTATTTTAGGGCTTCAGATGAGAGCGCGAGATTAATCTGTTGCTGCAAATTAATAGAAGGAGGATTCTATTCGTGTGAGTTCTGCGAGCTGGATTTTACCCTCGTGTGCGCTCGCCCTCAGTCGCCCAAACGCAGGCACACAGACCAGGCACACGGACACAAGCACAGGCGCGAACAGACACAACGCACTGACTTTGGAAACAGCGGCTCTGTCACAGACCAGAGCTCCTAAATTTTAATGTTCAGTTTTACCTGGCTTCCCCAAGACAAATGTTGCTCAAACATTTAGACGGGAAGTATCTCCTTAAACATTTACGGTGATTCGCTGAAAAAAAGTATGGAGAACAAACTGTAAAAGAGAAAGAGAAAAGGAGGCACTCGTTCTACTTGGGAGGGCGGGGGTGTAGCAAACAGTACCTTTCAAATTGAAATGCTGAAATTCATTTTGGTGAAAGGAATTCACTCCCTTGTCTTTGAAAAATGCTTCCCCTCTATAGGAAATACTCTGCGTTTCCAAAAGGTATCTTTTAATATAAAATAAAATCTCTCTGTTCAAAGGGAGACTGCCTGATCAAGATCTTGCCTGAACATGTCCACGGCAAAATTTAAAATGTGTCATTTTCATCCCATGCTTTAGATCTGCTGCCAGCGTGTGACGGAGAACGGCCCACTTTGGCATTTTTGCAGGATGTTATGGACATTTTGCTTCAGTATGTGGTGAAGAGTTTCGATAGATCAACCAAAGTCATTGATTTTCATTATCCTAATGAGCTTCTTCAAGAGTATAATTGGGAACTGGCAGATCAACCACAAAATTTGGAGGAAATTTTGATGCATTGCCAAACAACTCTAAAATATGCAATTAAAACAGGTATTGTCCAATCAAAAATAATAAAGTGTTTTCTTATACGAATTTTATTTTTTTCTATAAGAATGTTTTCTGTTTTGTAGTTACTGGCATATTCAAAATTATAATGTTATTTTCATCATTTAAAATGGCCTTTAACAGAACGAGTGAAATCAAATCGCTTTCTCTTATTATTAATGCACCGAAGTTGACAATACCAGAAACATTATCTTAGTAGAAATAATCAGGCTGCATTTGGCCAAGGAGTTTATTCCTTGGTGTAGAAGCAACCATTTGTCAGCAGAGGCCAGTAGAAGCGACCCAAAATGGAGAAAGAAAGGGAATGTAGAAATGAAAGCTCAAAAAGCATAATCCAAACAAAAGCCAGAGTTCCAGTGTTGTGCTAGTAATTTCCTCGGCACAGAACTGGTCAGGAACGGGGCTAACCACCCTATGTAATCATTGAGCTGGAGGTACAATGTCCTGTCATTGTCTCAAATGACCAAGACTTCTGACTTGAATTTTAGGATCTCTCTCTTTCTCTCCCTTTTTTTTTCCTCTCTTTCTCCTTCTCTCTCTTTCTCACTCCCTCTCTTTTTCCCTCTCTCTCTCCATAATATGGACTATTTTAGCAAGCTAACCATGTTATATAAGGATGTGTGTCCTTCAGAACTATTGTGTATGCAAGATGAAGAAAAGGGAGAGGGGAAAATCCGATATCCTTAGGGGCACATTTTAAAAAACCTATTTCATGGTCTATTGGTTTTTCACAATATTCTTATATTCTGTTCATTTTATAGCGCCGGTGTAACATTTATTTGGGTGCATCCCAAGCTTTCTATTTATCTACACAAAGTCATTCATCTACCCAGATTCTGATTTACCCTGCTTTTTTCTGCATTATCTCTAATCACCATGACACTTCGTGGTCCAGCACCTCACTCAAGTAATACAAATAAATATGAATTCATTTCTGGGGGAATGGGAAGATTTTATAGTTTTAAACTGATCTGTAGCTTTTAAAAGATTTGCTAGCCAATAAAAGTGTGAAATATTTTGTAAACATTAGAGGAAACAGCATATTTTATACAGCAATTTTTACTGGTGAGTTGTCAGTATGTATTTGTTTCATGGACAACAACAACTTAAGAATGTTTACTATGAGGTTTTTTAGCTTCTTTTTTTCATATTCTTTGTATTAACTGAGAAGGGAGGTACGCATAGCATAGGATTTGAGATATTGATTTAAAGTATTATTATCACTTTTCAGTGACTATAGATTTAGCGCCAAATACACAGGAAAAGAAATTTAACTTGTTGATTTAAACTCAATCTGTGGAGTAAGATTTTAAACATTTACTAAAGATCATCCTCAATTAATGTCCCTACAGAACCTACATGATGTACATACCTGGCATTCAAAGATGTTCCTCTCTCTCTACCACCAGGTTTGTAGGTGCAAACCTGAGTGATGCTTTTAATTCATTTTTCTTGGGCCCATTCCCCTTATCTAATATCTAAATACCTCAATTGCAAATTGCTACCTATTATTTACATTGCTACCAAACCAAAAAGAATCCATCAAAATGTCTTGCACCTTCATCCTGAAAAGCTGGCACTTTTTGAAATGCAGTTGAAAGGATTAAGATAATGGGAATTGCAAGTCAGTGAAAGTAATAGTTCTATCAGTGTTTTGTTTAGCATCAGGAAAAGAGGGACCGATTGAATACTTAGATTTTGCCATAATGCTTGTGAAACTTAGTCAAGCGTTGGTCTAGTGCATTTTATTTAAAGTTCAGCTAAAAATCTGATGGATTAAATTGGACTTCTAAGTAAATCATCTTAATATTTTTAACATCTCAATATTATTTATAATGCATTTACTCTTCTAGCTTTCTTTCTCCAAATAGCATTTCAGAAAGTTAGCAGCAAGCACCTTTCCTCCTCAGCTCACAAGTTTATAGATTGTTATGCTGCCATGTTTGTCAACTATTGCCGTTTAGGATCTGTTGAAGTAATTACTCTCCCTGGGCCATCCTATATTTTTACTATCCTTGGGAGATTCTTTTATAAAATCCTACTTATCACTTGTATCCCAGAGAGTCCTTAACCTAATTTCCACTTGTACTCCACACTTGGAAGTGGGGGTGTGGGGGACTACTATAAAACAGCCTTCAGGCATTACTAAAATTGCTTTTTAAAGAAATATTGGAACAGGAAACTTCAGGGAATGGTAAGATTTTGACAGCATTTGCAGGGTTAATTAGATTACCTGGTGCTTGGATTGGATGGCTGGGGGGGCGGGGGCGGGTAGGGATTAATGTAGTCTTAAATCTCTAATCATCAAAGAGAATTACAGCATTGATAAATGAAGCCGTCGTTGTGTAGATTGCCAATATATAAAGAATCGTTCAGTTGCAACTGCTTCCGGCCCCTCCTCAGCTGCTTGTGAGCATCAAGTCAGAGTTGCCAGAGACTGGCTATTCCATTCACAGAGTCTGCACACCCTCCCGTGATCATTTGCTGATCTTCGGGGACGGTTCCAGTGCCTAGGGCAGCCCTGGTCTCCTGTCTCCAACTGCTGTCCCTCTGGCTGGGCAGACTGTGCTTGACCAGCCATTCTTCTGCACGGCACAATGAACGCAGCTCACATGTTCTTCCCTGGGGTGCCCACGGCTGCTGGTACAGCTCTCTCGGGCTCACAGACAGGTCTCACTCTTTCCAGGAGCCCTGCCTGGACAGCCTGTAGGGGCCACTGGTGGACAGCAAATGTGACTAGGGGAACATTTCTGCCAAACCAAAAGGGCATGCTGTTCTGACCTGTCCAACTACCCCTCCACATTTTCACTTTGTTAACAGGGAAGAAAAACTTTGAGGCAGAAGACATCGAGGTGAAATAGCCAATCCAGTTCAAATGCATATGTATAGAGAGAAACCCAGCAACTGAAGCATCAAACTTGTTTTCTCTGTTTACCAAAAGTGCTCATCAGAATGAGTCAGCCCTCTGACGTCCTGGGGCACAGTACACACCTTCGAATCCCTCCCACAGCACAAACCTTGGAATTGGCAGAGCTTTTCATGCCAAAGGTTGCATAAAGTAAACACTGTGTGATACTAGGCACCAGGTTCATCCAGAAAAACGCATGAGTTGGAGGAGGGGGTAGATTAATGGATAGATTTGCTGATCCTTATTAATTTCCTCACTTTAAAAAATGGCTTAGGGACACAAATGAAGAGGCATCAGGAAGGAGAAGTTGGCGGCGGTTTCAGCTGGGAGCACTAATGAAATGAGGAGTCAATGAGGCAGAGAGGAATGGGGGATTATCCAGATGTCAGCGTGGTGGCATAGAAGGACTTTATGCTTTTCTTGAATGGGTGAGCTGATAGACTTAGCATCAGAGGGCCTGGAAAAGGGCAGAAAAGATAGCCCTCATGTGAGGCTATAAAGGAAGTAAAAAAAAAAAACAATGCTGTAGAAGGGACAAGACATGCACAGATCTGATCCCAGACCTCCAAAATGTGCTCCTCCTCAGCGCCTATCTTTTCCCAGTGTCAACTCTCCAGCCACATGCTTGGAGCTGATAAGAGAGCGCTCCAGTCTAGAAGATGAGCCGTGTGTTGATTTTTTTCCCTGCTTTCCCCATTGCCTTCCTTTATCTTGTCTTGCCCTGCTGGTGATGAGAGACAATCACATCCTCAGGCTTCACACAGGCATCCAGTAAAAGTGACAGGTACCTTTTATCAGATGCTATTTCCATAATTGTCCATCTCCCAAAAAAATTTTGTTGCTAAGCAAAGTCCAGATTTATTGATAGGCTTTTATGAGACAAGATGAGGAGACATAATTCTAATGAGATATTTATAATCACATTTTAAATAGCAGTCCCAGGAGTATGTGGATGTCAATCCATTTAGAGAATTTTAGAGAAATCCAGAAGTTAATTAGATAAGCCTTGTTAATGGGCCAATCAGTCCATTGAATATATTTTCATGTATCTTGTTGACAAGACGGTAACATTGACAGAGTTCAGCTTTATTTTAAATCTCAACTGTGAGAGAGCGCTGTTGTTTATCATCAGATATTCAGATGGAAAAGAATGGATAAGAATTAGCTTTGTCCATGCCATCTTTAGACACTCATCACCTTTTTGACTCCAGGGCAAATCACTCAGCAGAGTGTCCTATTTTCTCATTTTTGCCCTGTCTTTTGTAATCACCAGCCATTTGTCACTGATATTATTATGAATGTTGGCATGCCTGGCCGATGTCACGGGATGACTGATTCTCAGAACAACTCAACAAAGAAGGACTTTTAACAGCATGAATACAACTTGTCTTCCAATTCTTTAGGGTTACAATAGCACTTTAGTTTGCAAATATATTAAAAGCATGGTACGATATGATCTACTGTCCAGTTTGCAAGCCAATTTTCTTATTTTTTTATAGTCCATGTTTAAAGGAACATTTTTAGAGTGTGTTTTTAAAATGCCTCCGTGGTTAGATGCAGTGTTCTTCGAGTGTGAGGATGTGTTCTTATGCAGTATGTTTTGTATATGTTTGGTTTCTGAATGTACATTTCCTGTTCCTGAAGGGTCTTTCAAGGTTCTTAGGCTAGAAAAATCATATGGGTGAGAAGCATACATTTTCACTGATGCAATCCTGATTCTGGTGTTCTATTTCGTTCAGGGCATCCTCGGTATTTCAATCAACTTTCCACTGGACTGGATATGGTTGGATTGGCCGCAGACTGGCTGACATCAACAGCAAACACTAACATGTAAGTAGCTAAATATGTTTTTGGATAAGCCAGGATAATTATTAGTGAGATTGTGTAATGTTTACCTCTTATGTGAAAATCTATTTTAATTAAGTAGCTCCTAAAATAATGACTTCAAATTCAAAATTATCTGAGTGGTCACTCTTGTTTAATAGAAAATAGACATATTTTTGATGCAGTTAAATTATACAAAAGTTTTAAAATACAAAAGAGTCTCTTTGGGCATTTTGGATTCATAATGATGTATAATACAAAGGGGAAATTGAACCAGATGTTGTCTTTTACCTAGCATTACCCTAGAATGCTGTTTATTGAATATGATAAACCACTATGCTAATAACTAAAGCTCTTGACTCTAGAAAATGAGTAAGCCTTTTGGAATATCTTTTAGGAATCCCTCTATCTAATATAATTATCATAACATCTGTGAGCATAAGTTCTGAGAAAAGAAATCATTCTACATAGTAGTGACAAATTACTCCTTTGAGTCACATAAACTGTGGCCATTTCTACACTTCAGGTTCACCTATGAGATAGCTCCAGTGTTCGTGCTTTTGGAATATGTCACACTGAAGAAAATGAGAGAAATCGTTGGCTGGCCTGGAGGCTCTGGTGATGGGATATTTTCTCCTGGTACAGTGATATTTCAACCTTTCTGTGTGTGTGGTTTTTTTTTTTATGTGTATGATATGCCTTGTTATGAACCTAAGAAAATTAAGTATCTAGCTATATTTCAGATTAAGTTACATAGGCTCTGTACTGATCAAAAAAATGAGAGTGGCTAAGGGTACCTGACCATGGATAGGCCTCCAATCTAACTATCCCAAGCTCAAACATTAGTTATTTGTGTCCTAGAGGAGCATAAATAGATGGCATTTACTTAGTACTTCTGGGATCCTATACATAGGCTATATAGACAAAGATTCCTAATGAGGAATTTCAGGCTGTAATTTATTCCTAGAACTAGTGAGAGGAAAAGGGTAGCCTCATTTAATAAAACATTCACTCTTCAAGGGTACATCACAAGGCACACAGACTCAGTAAGAATGTATGTATGGCTCTGGTCTATAAAATAACAAAGCCGATTTACACTCACACCAAGGAGGGCGGTGAGTACTGGGGAGATAATTTCTTAGAACTGAAAAGAGGGAGTGGTGATTTCTTCAGGAGATTTCTCATTCCTTCCCTTCTTTATCATTTCATTCAATCTTTTCCATCTTGCCTTTTATTACCAGCCATTCCATCCTACGCTCCATTATTTGCACCTCTCCCAGCCCAGAGAATCTACATGGAACAAAAAGCTGTGCCCTGGCCTCATAGGTGACCTTGGTTTGACGCAGAGAAGACATTGACGTTAGGGAGGCAGAGGGAGAGAGAGTCATTGACCCAGAAAAAATACAAGTGAGGAGACCATCACCTAATCAGCCACAGCAGAGGTGGTCATCACATGCCCAGCGCCACACCTGCCACTGTGTTAGCAACTCTACAAAGCCAAGTGGATGATGAGAGAGGAGAAAAAGAAAAAAGGAAAGAAGAAGTGACAAATAAGTGACAGTGGCTTCAGTTCAGGGCTTATGTTAAGCACGCTTGCCTGCAAGCTCGGATCTGCTGTTTTCTTTTATGCTTTTAAATCCATAGCACATTTTTTTTCAGGTTCTAAAGGGAAAAGTGTTAGTGAAGTGGAAAAGAAAATTAGCCTTTTTTTCAAAAGTCATTGAACACCAGCTGTGTTGAACTTTAGGCTAGCTTCTATATTTTAGGAAATTTAGCAATTTTCCTTCAGGCTAAGTTTTTAACTTTGTCATTATTGCCTGAAATCGATGGCTTGGAGGATTTTCTATGAGGAACTAGGTAAGGCTGGGAAAGCAACATCATTCCTACCTTTACCACCCCCCACCCCCCACCCCCGCCTACCTGCTTTCATGGCTGCTTGTAAGAACGAGCTGTCCCTGAGATACACCACCCTCATCTAGTTTAACAGTTCCCAGGAAGGGAGGGAAGTGTTGTACATTTTGACTCTGAAAATCTGACTAACCTGACTAGGGCCCAGGCATCATTAACCTGTTTAGCCTTGGAACCTGCATGGCCTAAAAAACATAGACCCAGAGAAGAATCCTCTTAAAGGTTATGCCTCAAGCATGATGGAGAGTCAGCAGGCAGAAAAAAACTGATGCTTGATCATGGAGTTCCTTCTCTTGAGCCTAAAAATCCATGTGCTCTCCCTCCAAGATGGAAACTGTAGGTATCACGCTACACTGTAATGTAGATATTCCTAAATCAGAGGCGGCAGCAAAGAAGCCAACTGCCTATGTGTTTTCTCTCAACTTTCTATAAGGTACTGCAGAAGAGAAGTGACGCCTAACGTGGTTATTTGCTGATAGATGCTTTGCTAGACATCACATCCCTGTCATCTATGAGTCTCATTCCCCAAGACTAAATGCAAAGAGTGAAGTCTGTGACTTGACTACAGAGCGTGGCTCAGTTTGCCTTACACCCCCATCTGTAACATCCAGAGGCTTCATGCGTGCTTCAGGACTCCTAGGACATCATGTTTATGCGATGTCACCCACACCTCAGAAGCACAGCACTCCTTCCTGTTCAGTGGGTTATGAAGGATAAGGACTAGCAGGGAGAAGGGGGAAAGCTTGGCGTAGTCACAAACCTTTCACCTCATGAGAACTAAGAGCATGTAGGGTTTCTTTATCTGTCCTCGTGCCTGGGTAGCACAGATCAGTCTGCCCTGTCCAGTACCAGAGCCTTCTCTTCCTGCTCAGGGCTTCCCAGCCTTTAGCTGGAGGACACCTGGGTTACAAACAAGGCATAGGAGGGAAAGGATGGAAACATCTTAGATAACTGCAGTATAAGGAGCACTTTCTTTGGTATGCCTTCCCCTTCCTTTTCTCCATCCTTCCACCTCCAGCCTCTTTAAGAAGAACCTGCAGAGCTGCAGCTCTGAAGTGGGAGCCATTTTGCTGACCCGCCCCATCCCCAAACACTTGGCAATGTCTGTAGACATTTTTGCTTGACATACTAGGAAGGAGAATGCTGCTTGCAACTGGTGGCTAGAGACCAGGGATGATAGCAGATACCCTATAAGCCCACACCATGAAGAATTATGTAGCCCAAAGGGTCAGTGAGTGCCAAGATTCAGAAGCCATGAGCTAGAGTGAAAGTTTCTTTAAAATCTGACCCCTTGTCCAAGATTCTGTTGCCAGACTTTCAGATATGTGCTCAGAATGAGCTTGACCTGGATTCTGCTTGTCCTGTGTCTAAGGGTCCACAGAGTTAAGAACTGCCCTCGGGGCTGGGGATTTAGCTCAGTGGCAAAAGCGCCTGCTTGGCAAGTGCAAGGTCGTGAGTTCGGTTCCCGGTACTGGAGAAAAACCCCCCCAAAAAAAAGAACTGCCCTCATTCTGACTGAGGAGGAAGCCAAGATCTGGGTGATAATTGCTCTGTGCCATGTGGCCTGACTGGATCGGAGCTCAGTGCTCCTGAGGCAAAGGTCATAACCCCATGTGGGCACCCAGCTTGGCACACCTCCCTCTTGCTCCTCAGCTACCAGGAGAAAAGGTAACTCAGAGTACTCACATCACGGCTGGCCCCACGTATGTCTCAGGGAGAGGGTATACCTTCACTATGGCTCATGGTCTCACATCTTCCATGCCAATAGCACCGTTTGTACTGATGATAATAGTCTTTTTCCTGGAGACCAAAAATCCTAAGCTTCCCCCACAATCTTAGAGAAAGTTCGCTGTTCTGCTTGTCAAATGAAACCCAACTTGTAAGACATAGACCCTTCAATCCCCAGCACTACAACAAACAAAACAAAACAAATAAAACCCAGAATCCACAAACCTTATCAAATAGCATCCCGGGCAGTCTCAAGACAACACAGGAAACGTATTTCCACATGGGATTAAAGTTTTCTTAGTTGAATGCTTTCCTGTAATTTTGAAGATTTTGTTAACTAAAACAATTTTGATTCATTGGTGTCTTTAGCAGGAAAGAACTATTTTGAGGAATGAACAGAAGTTTTGGGAGTATGATGCAATGAACTGTTTATCTTTCATTTTATAAAAATTTTTGATTGATTAACAGACTAGATCATTACCAGCATTGTATTTACCTCTACTCAAGTACAAGGCATTGTGGGAATCGAAATGAAAAGAAATAACCAACTGCCCACAGGATAGAGCCAGGATCTTACAAGCTTTATGCAGAATGACCACGTGGGCTCAAAAACCAGGAAGAAAGGACAAATTTCGAGGGTCATTTGTTTTTTCAGTAATGGGACTTAAACCCAGGGCCTTTGCCCTGAGCTACATCCCCAGATTTGGTGGGGGAGCAGGGGAGTGGGGCAGGAGCTTGCTAAATTGCCCAAGCTGGACTTAAACTTGCAGTCCTTAACCTCAGCTTCCCAGAGCGTTGGGATTACGGGCATGTCCCACCACACCCAACATAAACATTTTCTCCAAAGCTCTCCAGGTAAGGGCAGAATTAATGGCAGTTCCCCTTAGTGTCTGAGGTGAGGTTGGGAGGTGGTCTCCATCCTGTCGTCTGTGCCTCCTCTGGACTGTCTCGGGTAGAGCCTCTGAACCCAGGGGTTCTTTTCAAAGGACAACCAATAAGATTTTCTCCTGTGTCCAAGAAGGGCTACGAATCAGTGGAAATAAGGCTGCTTGCCGGTGAAACGTTGATCACAAGTAGGAGCAGTAACTGTGTGGCTGTGCCCTCCAGGTGGCGCCATATCCAACATGTACGCCATGCTGATCGCGCGCTACAAGATGTTCCCAGAGGTCAAGGAGAAAGGCATGACTGCTGTCCCCAGGCTCATCGCCTTCACATCGGAGCACGTAAGTGTTTCCCTCCTTTCCGAGTTTACGGTTATATGCGATGAAGCCTCAGAGGCCGGAAATGTTTTATCCTCAGAGGTTCTCTTTCTAAAAGACCCTTCTTGGGAGACCAGGAAGTGAGGGAACAGCCGAGCGGTCCAGTGCAGAGCTTCCCTTGTTTGAGATTCAGGAACACCTCAGAGAAGAAGCAGAACGATTTCCCTTCTAGTTCCCACCCTTCGCGACTCGGTAATGGGGTTGTGTGCTGGGGGATGGGAGGAAGCAAGAATGCAGAGTGGCCCCCCAGTGCCATGGTTCCTAAGAGTCTACAGTTCCCTGTTGATAGATCCTTCTGATTAAAAATTCAGTCAAATGATCAGATAGATATTCTACCATCGCAGTTCCTTGAGCCATTTAACATTAGTATTTGGACTTTGGGCGCAGATTTGTCTCAAGGGAGCACAGATTCCTGGCTTTCCCCAAGGTGCTGGCCAGGCCAAGGCCGAGAGCTCTGGTCTTCTTTGTTGAGCACAGTGCATAGAGCCTGATACTTTTCCTTGGTTTTCAAAGAACTTGTGCAGTTCCTCCTAGTACTACTCAAACACTGAAAACAAGTAGCCCAACCTGCTCACCTAATCACACAGTTTTACCAGCTTCTCTCTCCTGCTGGGGTAAGGCAGCAAATGAGCCCTAGCCATCCTGCAGCCCTATGTGCAGCGCCTTGGTTCTAGTTCCTCCTGCCACCCACCCTGAAGGCAGCCAGAGCTCTCTGGGCCTTGACAGATGTCAGATGAACATTACCTGCCATGTCATTCAGAAGGCTGTTACTTCATGATCTCTGTCTCAGAGGGTCTGGAAAATAAGTACCTCAAAGAAACCCAGGAAGCCCTCTGACAGCAGGGGAGATAGGAGATGGGGAGGGAAAAGAAGGGTCTGTTTGGAAACTAAGGGATCCTATAAAAAGACATCAATTGGGAAAATCAGGAAACATACTGGGTCTCAGATCTCATAGACTTTTTCTTTTTCCTATTTAAGTAGGATGCATATTCCTGTGTATTTATAAAAAGTAAGCAAAGGCAAATACAGATTGGAAACCACTGGCTATGGCTCACTACTATAGCAGTAGCCATGGAATGAAAGGAAACTAAAGATTATTTGGGGAGAAAACTGTTCTGAGCATCTTGTTTTGGGCTATATTTTGGAGTTTTGCTAGTTGTAAAATACTCCTCGTCAACTTAGAGGGGTCAAATTTAACAAAAGACCACAGCCTGAGTTGACCTACTGTTTTTCACTTTTATTGCAACTAGAGTAAAGCACAAACTTAGTGGTTTAAAACAGCATGAATTCATTATCTTATATCCTGGAGTTCAGGAATCTAAAATGGAAGCAGCAGCACTGTGCTCCTCCTGGAATCTCTCATGGAAAGTGTCTTTCCTTGTCTTCTCCAGCTTCTAGAGCCTGCCTACATCTCTTGGCTTATGGCACCTTCCTCCATCTTCCAGCCCACCCGAAGAGCATTTCCAATCTTAAAATCAACTCCCCACCCTCATCACATTTTTTTCCCTGGCTGTGATCTCCTGCCTCCTCTTTCACATATAAAGACCCTTATTATTACACTGGGCATACTTGAGTAATTCAGAATTATCTCCCATCTCAGTATCTTTAATTTAATTATACCTGTCAAGCCCCTTTTGCTGTGTAACCTCATATATTCACTGCTTTCAGGGATGAGAATGTAGGATCTGTAGAATTTGGGGAGTCTATTATAATCAGCCTACCTTACCTAGTACCACAACTTTCATTTTTTCACCTCTTCCAGGGGAAAACTACAAGATATAATTTTTCATCACAGTGACTGTTTCCCTAAAATGTATCGAGAGTACCCGATAGTTAAATGTCACTATATTTTCAACCTCAAAAAGCTCAGATGATCTTATGTTGAGAATCTTTTTCTTTGGGCTTCTAAGCTATTTCAAGTTAAAATGCAGTTGGTACAGCAGCAAGCTGCCCTGTGCACTCTACCAGCCATCACTGGTTTCTACCTGAAAACATTAAGCTCAGACTTGATGTAAATTGACTTAGTGTAATCCAGCCCATGTGATCTGAGAATCATTTTGCTATGCTTTTTTCCCTCTTGTATTGTAAGCATGGATTTCAATTCATTTCTAAGAGAAAGAAAGAAAGGCAATTTGGCTATACAGCCATCCTCTTTCCTCTATCTCCACAACATAATTATGAATGATCATTTCAGTTATGAATCTTTCCTAAAATACCAGTTGGTTCTAACCATAGACTTATGTTTCTTTTTTTTTTGGTGGTGACACTAAGGCTCAAATTCAGGTCCTCATGCATGCCAAGCCCTTCTTTACCCCTGAGCTATATACTTCCAGTCCCCTAAACCTACCGTTTTTGACAGATGAGTTGTTCTAAAGTTTATCAACTTATATATGGTTACTATTTGACAGTATCCAAAACACCTCCAATACATATAAATTTATTTGATTCTCACAGCCCTGTAAGGCAGGTAAAACAGAGACTGTTGTCAGGTTTTTGAACATGAAGCCCCTGAAGTTAGCTAGGTAGGTAGAGCCAGGATCCAGCCAGTTTCCTGACTCCCAGAGCAGGGAGGTCACTGCTCCAGCCACTGCTATTGAAACCAAATTGAAAGATTCTGCATCCGAGTTTTGTACACAAGAACTCACTGAGCGGCTGCACAGTTTGTATCTTCCCTAATCAAATTTCTGCCAAGAGCTTTTTTAAAAATTTAGTTTATTGGTTCATTTTAGGTGATGATCACATTCATCGTGGGGAATTTGTACCTTTATATCATATAGCTTCTTTTTTTCCCCATTTCCATACCTACCCTCCATCCTTCTTCCCTTCTTATTTACAAAGGTTTTGTTTCTGTTTTTTTTCCTTGTTTTCTCATTTTTTTCCTTTTCCCTTTCTTTTCTTTCTTTTTTTAAAAATCAGGGTCTGGCTATGTAGCCCAGACTGGCCTTGAACTCACAGCAATCCTGCCTCAGCCTCCCAAGTGCTAAGATCACAGGTGTGCTCCCACCACACTGGACTCATGAGCTTTTTTCTCAAGGTGAAGATGGTGCTAAATTATACTTCCTCCTCCAGTCTAAGAGAAACTCTCTTCATTATCCCCAAGGGCTGGGTTGGAGGAGGCTTTCAGAGCTCATTTGAAACATTCCTATGTCTCTTTGAACGTTTATCTCAAATGACTCAGGGCCGATGTAAGAGTACACCCTGTCCTTGAAGCTCAAGGTTAAAGCATCACGTGATCCCCATCTTCACTTCCTTGGGCTCTACACCTCAGCCCATTCTGTTCAATTTATCACTTCATGCAGCTCCTTCTGGCGGCAGACCAAGGGGATATGTCCCCTTTATCTGTTTTAATTTTACAACCACTTCCTCTCCACCTGTTCCAGAAATAGCTCTCCTCAGACAGAAGACAGGAGATTCCCAAGTCCTTTCTCAAATGCCTTTTCTCCAGGATAAACCATTTCAGGGTTTGTGTAGTGGTTTCTTTCCTACAGAAGGAATGGAAGGGTGGCGGAAGGGCCACAGCGTTGACCTAGGGAGGGGAGGGGACCCCAATGGCTGAGGAAGACCTGTGGCAGATGTCTTCCTTCCTATTCTTTGAGATGTTGCCAGAGTCCAAGACTTTTGAAGAAAGAGCCTGAGGGGGAAAAAAAGCTTGCCTCAATGCCTGTACTTAGGAAGCTCTATGTAAATCTTAGATAGCTTTGAAAAGCAATCTTCTTTCTTTATGGGATGAAGAAGCCAAGCCACAGAGATGGGACAGGATTTGCCCCAGGTTTCACAGCCAGCTGATGGCAGTGCCAGGTTTAAAGCCTCAGTTTCCCAACCTTCAGGCACTGTTCCTTCAACTAGGTTGGCTGACTGAACGGCCCCTGTGACTGGCTACTCCGAGTTCTCTTGTGGCATCTTGTCTCTGATCTCATTTTACCCATGTTGGTTATTCCAGTGCTAATATAATTTCCTGATCTACTGAAGCGGGTCAAGTTACTGTTCCTTCTTATATTCTGAGCACTGAGTTTATAACTTGGTGTGTTCAGAGCTATAGAGATGGGAACGATATTGGGAAATTGTGTAGTCTATGGCATCTAGCCAGAAATGTCACACATTAGGAAGGGGAGAATCAGCTTGTGTTTTCTGTGTGATCCTTTACTGTGTCTGTCTCACCACCCCAGGGCTACCCACCTCTTTTCTGACCACTCAAACATGGCTAGAGCTTTACACAGCTCACGCGGAAGGCAAGCTATTAAATTCTTTTTTTTGTTCTGATAGCTGTTTTCTTGTAAAGCTTGAGCAAAACTAACTTAATATTGCTGCGAATAGCATTAGAAGTAAGTAAATCACTGAGCTGAAACAAGAGATAGTTTTTAAGCCACAAGAGTTCCGAGACTACGGGTACTTTCGTCCAAAACACAAAATCACAAGGTCTGGGAACTGCAAGGAATTTTAAAGATCAATTGGTTCCACCCTCTTTTCTGAGTGAAAAATTAACCTGATGAGTAGGTTTACAGGGAGTTATGATCGCCACTCAATAATTTACATCTGTGGCGCTGAAGTCTTTGGAAACTGAAACCATAAGCTCAGTTCCACAATCCTCTTAATTGCTCATGTGAGAAAGTTTTTCCAGAAATAGCTTCCATGAAACAGCACATAAACTAGGAATGTGCTTTTCATAATCCTAACAGACAACAGCATCTTCCCAGATCCATGACTCACACACTTTACTTTCTATGCACCGAGCCAGGCTTATGTCCACATCTCCTGGAAGCAGGGATTGTCTCCCAACGCCGGCCCACTTTTATGGGAAGTGATCCTCATAATGGCTTTAGAAAATGGTTTACACATATGACTGTTGGAGAGGGTTTCACCTCTAAAAGTAAATCTCTTTAAGCGACAACAAAAAAGTACCCTCCCCAACGTGGTTTTAGACTAGCTGACAATCAGAAGTAAAAACAAAGTTGGCCAATCTTTCT